GGAAAAGTACAGCTATATCAAGAAAGTGAACAGAAATAAAAATGACAGGATTCAATACACATCTTTCATTAATACTTTAAATATTAATGGACTGAACTCCCCAATCAAAAGACACAGACTAGGTGAATGGATTAAGAAACAAAACCCATCTTTTTGTTGTCTGCAAGAAACTAATCTTACTATTCAAGGACAGGCACTAATCTTAAGGTGAAAGAATGGAAAAAAATACACCAAGCGAATGGTGCTAAATAAAAACAGGCATTGCAATCCTAATATCCGGCAAAATAGACTTTAAAACTAATCAGAAGAGATAAAGAGGGCCACTTCATTCTGATCAAAGGAACAATAAACCTAGAAGATATTACAATCAACTTATTCCTATCAAAATTCTGAGAAGAACTCATAGTAAAAAGATATAAGAGTTTTAAGAAAAAGGGAGCTACACTGGAGCAAACTTGTATGACAAGAGATAATATATCACAAATAATTATAAAATTTATGAAATATGTTGTATCAAATCAAAATGGGATTTGAGCACTAGATATCCATCACACCACCATAGAGAGTATTCTGATAACTGCCAGATGCTCTGTTGCACTCATTTCACAATGGTCCTCTCTAAGGCACTCTTGTATCTGTCTTACACATGAGTAATTTAAAGCACAGAGAATGTCATGAATGTGCGTGAGGGAAATAACCACAAAGCTGTGTAGCCCAGTGCCCTGGTACCATGTTAGAAAACTGATCCTCCTCAACTGATGTGAAACAGTAAAGACACTCAATGCATCGAATGTGTGCTCTTTTGAGAGGGTGCTGAGCACTTTCACAGAGCAACTCTACAATTTCACAACAGCCTCTGAGACTTGTAATTTCCCTTGTATTTTACAGATAATGGAACAATATACACAGCAGATAGTGACAATAAAATAAAGCGATTAAGTCAAGAGAGTCTAAAATCAATCTGCCTTCAGTTATATTTCGATTGCAACACATACTAGTGTGATCTTGGGTGAGTTACCTAACTTCTCTGTTCTTCAAATTACTCATATGTAAGACATACACTCAGCATTAAGGAAGAAGGATAGTGGAGTGTTGACTACACAGTTAGTTAATGCTGAGTTTGAAGACCAGTATTTTCACTTGGTAATTTAATTTTCATGTTGACCATGTTATATGATATTATTTGGTTCTGTATTGAGTGACTAGGGACTTGAATATGAAACTTTAAAAGAAGTACAAAGATCAAACACTTGAAATATATAATGTGCATTTAGATATTTACTCTTGAATTCCTTTCTGGAGTGAAGAGAGATTTCTCTAGAACTGTACCCTCTCAGGCTTGGCAGTTGTTCTACTAAAAAACTTAAGACATAGAGCAAAAGAAGAGGGAAAGAAGAATAATAAACGACTGGAAAAAATTCTGTTAAAATAACTGAAGTCATATATCATCAAAACCAAATAAGATAAAAGTTGTCTCATGAGAGCAGTTAAAAATAGTCTATTTTGGAGGGCATGGTGGTATATACCTGTAATTTCGGCACTCACGTTGAGGCTAGGAAGACTGAGGAATCTAGGCAGTCTGATTATATAGTTCCAGGCTAGGTAGTGAGATTGTCTCAGTGTAAAAACAAGAAAATAGTCTAATTTGTTACATAACATTACATAAGCAGTAATGCATTTAGGTGGGAACTGCCAAAATGTGATGTAAAACATACTTAACCTTAGTATCAAGTCACACATGGTATTAGGAGCCTGGTGTCTGCTAGGACATACCTTTAATGGTGATGGCCAAGATAAAGAGCACACATGTGCTCACAAAATACAGACTAAAACCATACAACAACCACACAAATTGAAGTTATATTGACAGGCTAGTGTTTACCTTTCTACTGGTCACTCTGAAAAAGTGTTACCTTGGTTTAAAAATTCACCTTATTTAAAACCATTATGGAGCTCCTTTGTGTATTCTTTTCTGAACCTATCAGTTATGACTTGGTCACAGTTGGGTGATACATTAAGTTTTTTTTCTTTCAGCAGAACATTTGAGCAAATTGTGATGAAATATTTGAACTGACAGGATGATTGCATTTGTGGTATAGGATGAACCAAAATAGGAGCCGGTAGGGCTCAGATTATTGTACAGCAGGAACAGGTTTCTTCTAGAGTTTCATAAATTTCAGTAACAAATAACATCTCTATTATTAGGATAGTCATTCAAGATGGTCATGAGTATACAGGAAAACCCTCATAGAATTTTCCATTTTGTTGAGTTTCTCACTGGAATTAGTTGATTCTCTCATTTAGATTCAATTCTTTTGGCTTGTGTTGAGGTAGTCTGTCCACTGGTGTAAGTGGAATAATGAACCATTTCAGTCTTATTGTCCGGTTATACTGAGAGATTATCAATAAAAGTTCTTAATAGACCATAAAATGCTCAACTCTGTCAATGCCAATTTGATAAACATTTCAATCAAGGGGACTTACATTTAAGTCCCACAAAGCCAAGAATGTCTACCTTGTTCACTCCTTTGTCCTCCCCTCATAAATGACTTTATTTGAACTAAATTGAATTGATTTGTAGCTAAGTAACAGTTCTTTAAATTTCCTTTCAAATCTAGTTAGTGTTTCATGCTTCCTTCTACAGTTCAACTGTTATAATCACTTTAACCTCACATAGATTAGGGTTTTCTCTGTCCAAGCATTATTTGTTTATGTTTATTTGTTACATATAATAAAAGAGAACTCAAGTGAGATGGATTCAGCTGGTCAGTGGACAGTAGGAAGCACAGAAATGAAATTACTGATATATTTGTTGAACCATAAGTTGGGCAGCACTCTGAAGCTCATCTATGTAATGGTTATCCCTTAGTAGCTGAGAGAAAAGATATACTAACATGATTCTAGTGGTGCAACTGAAACAAATGTCCACCCTAAGCCACCTTGTGGGGACTCCAACCAAGGGGGAGACTCCTTCCTGCTAAGGGAGAATGAGGCTGATACAGCAAGAGATCAACAGGTAACTTATGAAAGAGGTATCTTTAAGTGTATTGCCTTTGTAAGGGAACGGCTTAGTTGGTTAGTCCCTGAAGCTGGGACTCTGAAGAACTCCCAAATGGGCTCATGGCCAGGTATGCCTACCACACATAATATACCAGTTTTAGTGCTTTAAGGCAATAGACTTCAAGAATTTTGCCTTTATCTTCTATTCTTCCTCTCTGCCAGTATACAATTATGTTATTTCTAAAGACATTATAAAATTGAAACAAATAAAGGAATAATAATGATAATAATAACAAAATCAATGAGTGATGCTAATAACAGCAGGGATACAAGAAATGATCAGGAGCCCCTACCTCCCTGCACTTGAGATCTGAGCTCACACATGCTTTGAACTGAATGTGAAAATGAAGTTTCAAATTGGGTTGTGCTTGGATTTGTAATACCTGGAAATGGGTATTCAGCACAGTAAAACTGTTTTATAAGATTATAGATGACCAGAAAGCTTTTGAAACCTCATGAAGGAAGGAGGATTGGAAGAGAGTGAATTCCCTTGTAATTTAATGGAAGAATCAGCTTGAGAGCCAAATGATGGTCCATCTGCCTTCTTGTTTCTCCCTGCCTTCATCTTATATCTCAAGTCACTGTCTTACAAATAATCTTTCAATTGAGAGGCCAGAAAACAGTTAAACACATCACTGGGGTTCTGGCACACTGAAGGGCAAGGGGGACTGAAACAACAGCTGTGAGGTCTCCTCCTGAGATGCTTGGCTTGCGTCAGAGGGAAGCATACACAGAAGGGAGACTCCATGTCACACCTAAAAGAGATGTGAACGCTTCTAGTGGCTTGAAAGCCTCTGCTTCCCTATGTTCATGGATCAACCCTGGCCCTGACAATTTTTCCACCCCCTCTTCTGCAATGGTCCCTGAGCAGTGGGTGGGAGATGTTTAGTATAGGAGTCCTATTCAGGGACACACACTCTACAGTCTCTTATTCTTTGAAAGTTCGCAAGTTGTGGTCTTTTATGCGCATCTTGCACTCTGTTCACTAGTGAGAGTTGAAGGATGCACTCATTTTTTCTCTGTCCTCCTGCTATGTTCCATGAGTCTTAGGTGTAGAGGTTCCACTATAGATGTGTCATTTAGAACTGGGCATCTGTCAGACATATATTCTCTGTGTCTGACCAGTTGTGGGATTCTGCAGTAGCCTCCCTCTGTTGCAAAAAGAAGCTTCTTTGATGAGTGGTGTACAGTAACTTGTCTGTAAATATAAGAATCCATATTTAGTATATTGTATCCATATTTAGCATATTGTCCTGAGATATGTGAACTTGTGGTAATGGTGGCATTGAGCACAGGACCCATGCCAACTCAATCAGACAAGGGCCCAGAGTGGAGTGAGGGAAGTAGGTCAGCTCTAGTCCTGGAACTATTGGAGACTGATTACTACTGGGTGAGGGAGAGTATGCCTTACTAACAATCTCTAGATAGGCTGACTAGACTGCAGTGGATGAATTTGCACTGAAGGACATCTGGGTACAAATGTCTGACTGGATAGGACTTAACATGTATGGTGGAATACATGAGGTCCGGTGGGGGAGGGAGTTTAAATTTAATAAAGAACTGTTGTGTTAAATATACAAAAACAATCAAAAAAACAAAACCATAAAACAAAAAACTAAAAGAGAGCTAAGAACAGGCATTGATCTGCACAAACCAACCCCTGTGGTTACCAAGTCTTGGGCTGGTTTGAATTTTAGAATGGTGCTAATATATTTGGAGTGCAAATTTTTTTTTCTTTTTGGCTTTTTGAGACAGGGTTTCCCTCACAGCTGGCCTGACAGTTTTCTTCAAATTTAAAAATTATTCAAGAAGTTCAAGAAAATGAGTGTAGGTATCATTTGGACAGAAACAGTAAAAATATGAAATGGAAATATGAGTCTGTCCATTTCAGTTGATTGATTTAACTGACAGACATCCCTCCTCTATGGCACCTACAATCTTTAAGTGGTGTCTGGGGCTGCTTTGTGGAACATGGCATTCTTCAGAGCACCTTTGACATCATTGTTCCTTAGGGTGTAAATTAAAGGATTGAGTAATGGGGTAACAAAGGTGTAGACCAGGGCGATTTGGCGGTCCTCGTCCTCCGACGTGCTGGAGCGAGGCCTCAGGTACACCAGGCTGCAGCAGCCATACTGCAGCAGGACCACGGTGAGGTGGGAGGAGCAGGTGGAGAAGGCCCGCTGCCGGCCCTCAGCAGAGCGTATGTGCAGGATGGTGGACGCTATGAATACATAGGAGATGCAGATCAGTAGGAAGGGCACTGTCAGCACCAGGATGCCCACTACGTAGAGGACTGCCTGGTGTACATGGATATCAGCACAAGCCAGGCGCAGAACTGGAGGCACATCACAAAGGAAGTGGTTGATTTCCCGGTGATGCCCACAGAAAGGCAACGTGAAAATTAAGGCAGTGAGTTGCACGGAGAGGAAGAGGGCCCAGCTCACAGAGCCCAGCACCATCTGGACGCACAGCTTCTGGGTCATGATGAGGCTGTAGTGCAGTGGGTGGCAGATGGCCACATACCGATCATAGGCCATGATTGCCAAGAGAAAACAGTCAGTGCTTCCTAGAGTGACGAAAAAGAACATTTGTGTCCCACAGCCAGCCAGTGGAATGGGGTTCTGGGCCCCAAAGATGTTGGAGAGCATCAAGGGTACAACGTCCGTGGTGTAGCAGATCTCCATGAAGGACAGATTGCACAGGAAGAAATACATGGGCGTGCGCAGTGAGCTGTGTGTACACACCACCCAGATGATGGCAGTGTTGCCAGAGAGGATCATCAAGTAGAGGAGGAGGAAGAGGAGGAAGAGGAGCACCTGGAATTCGGGGACGGTGGTGAACACACGGAACACGAACTCAGGGGATCCGGATTGGTTGAGGGCAGGCTTCCCTGACACCATGTCTTCTGCAGAAAGAACAGGAGCTGGTGAGCTCTCAGTGGTTGAATTGCCACTACTAGTCAAGTAAAAGCAGAATGACTAAATTTGAGGTTTGACTTGTCATTCCCTGTTCCTGTTTTAACTAGTATGCTGGGAATGAACTCATAGTGAAGGTCTGGCATATTTTTACTTAGAGATCTTCATGAATAGTAGAGATACACCTGTGAACAAGTTCCCACTGACAAAACATGTGGATGATTCTGGTGAAATATCTTGAAAACACATTTTTTACACATTCAACTGACAAGCGCTAACATTCTGTATATATGTGAAAAAAGTAAATTCGTATGTGTAAAAAATATGAACAGTTGTGAATATTTTTTTAATTAAAAAATATTTTGTCATTTTTATTTTATGTGTGTGCATGTAGGTAAGTGCACCCATGTCGTGCAATGCCCATGGAGGACAGAAGAGGCCGTCAGATCCCCGGGACTGGAATTTCGGACAGTTGTTAGCTGCCATGTGGGTGCTGGGATTCGAACCCAGGTCTTCTGCAGGAACAACCACTGTTCTTAACCGCTGAGCCATCTATCCAGCCCCAGTTGTGAATATTTTTATAGTTAGATAAATGGATGCATTATTTGTATTTTAGGTGTGCATTATTATCCAAATACAGCATATATAGAGAGTATTACACAAAGCCTTAGTATAGATCTTGGTTAATTTTACAAATGAAATATGACTGTGGGGAAAGATAACTAACACCAAAGACCTTTGAAAATGCCATATGGAAACTTAATACTGAAGAAGCTTCTTAAAATATATGCATATACGTATAAAAGATGTTTAAATAAAGTTACCCTATAACAGGGGACAATGCCTCCCTCAGACCCAGTGCCAGGTTTGGGTTATCTCTTTTGGAACTGTTGGTCAGTGGTATCCCATAGACCCACCCAAACATTACAGACTACTGCTGTTGTACTTGCTTATCTTCCAGAACTTGATGGTAAGACCACATTCTTGACACCACATTCCTGCAAATATATGCATATATGTATATGCATATATTTTAAGAAGCTTCTGCAGTATTAAGTTTCCATATGGCATTTTTTAAAGGTCTTCAGTATTAGTTATCTTTCTCCATAGTCATATTTCTTGACTTGGAGAAATCAAGCTGGCACCCACCTGGAAGTGTCACTTCTATTGACCAGTTTTCACAATGCTGAAAAGTTCTATGCATGCTACCAGGGAGAAAAGTCATCATCATTTTTACCCAGCTGTGGATGCTGCAAGCTACAATGATTGTTTGGTGCAATAGTGACAGGGATGTCATGGGAATAGCCAACCACTTTCTGATTGGATTTAAGGTCCATGACAAGAGATGGAACCCATATCTGACACCATTAACTGGGCCCCAAACTGGGATGGCAAGGTCATAGACCCTAGGAGAGAACTTAGTACTATCATTCTGCTAAATGGATATAGTATTAAACTGCCTCCTAAATTCTTATCCTTATTCTTGTGCATCTTTCAACCCTCATCAGAGAAGCTTCTTTCTGTAGTATGTGGTTATTAATATAGAGACCCCCCCAACTAGTCAATGTAAGAGAAAAAGATTATGGAGAACTAATCTCTAAATGGTACAGCTGTATCACACACTCCAAAGCTCAGGGATCATCATCGAAGAAGAGGCAGAAAGATTGAAAGAGCCAGAGGGAGTGGATGGCTGTAGCAGAATTGTGTATGTTGGACTTAATAGCACAGCTGCACACATGGACTCATAGAAACTGTGACTTCATGCACAAAACTTGCCCAAGATCAAGCTGGCCAAAATCCCAGCATGGATGGGAGAGGAGCTCATGAAAGCCCATGCCTGTCTGAGGTGATACTGGGCGCTGATGGCTACTGGGAGAGGAAAAGACACTTTTCTTTGGGGATTGGGGCCAAGAGATGGCCCTACACCTATGGACATAAGGGCAGCACTAAGCGGACTCAGTGGATATTAAATTTAAAAACGATGAGAGAGCATATGAAATTGGGAGGAAAAAGTGATGGGGTGCAAAGGAGAAATTGGAGGGGAGCAAATGGGAGGGGATTGAATCCAAACACATTATATGCATATATAAATATTCAAATGTTTAACTAAAATGACGATTTAATCACTATAAAGATGCAGATACAGAAAAATATGCAAGCACCCTTTTTATCCCTCTCAATCTTTATGCGTCAGAACTGTCACCACTCTGACTTTTATCACTGAATGTTAGTCTAACTATGCAACTTCTGTATATGATAAAGTATGTACTGTATCGTATCTGCTCCATATCGTGTCTGCAAAGTTACTCTTCCTGTTCTGCGTAGCAGTGCTCTGGCTTTTTCATTGCTCTATCATACCCTACATTATGGCTATAACCATGCTATTCATGAAGCAGTCCATCCCTTTAGGTCCAGTTGTTCTGATTCCCTGTCAAACTAGGGAAGTTTCAGTATACTTTTCAGAGGTTTCCTCTCATTTGAAAATTTCTGTAAGTTTCCAAGTGGGAACTGAAGCTTTTGGACTCAAAAATTTGGATGATAGGGAACTAAACAGACTCAGGTTAAAATTAGAGTGCTTCCTGAGAATATAAATGAAGATAAATTGAAAATAAAGCAACAGGAGTGAATCATGCATTAGAATGATCCAGCAAATAGGACAGACATTTGTATGCATATAAGTATTGAAAATACATATGAATTAAGCATTTTCAGTTTATATTGTAATTATATTAAAAAATTCAAGAAACAATAGACAACTAAGAGTTTGCAGAAAAACAATTGTTATGAAAAATTCTATATTCAGATGTAGTGATTTGTATTCTAAAACAATAGAAAGGCTTTCTCAGATTTACAAGGGTCTGGTAGATAAATCTTATTAAATATAATCAAAACATCTTCTCAATACAAATGATAGATTTCTGGGTAATTATTTAGGATATATAATTTTAGATTGGGAAATTGCAATGTGAAATGATATATTTTGAACATTCACATAGTAAAATATACATTAAAAATCAAATGATTGATGTGAATATTATGAAAAACAAAAAAGAATTACCAAATATAATAAGACACATAGGATATAAATATATATCATATAATAGCTACACGATATTATAACATATTAATATGATCTATATAAATGAAATAACCATACATATTTAAACCTAAAATTTATATAATTGTGAAGGATGGGAGAAATGAAAGTACACTAATGGCCTCACCCCATGTAAAGGGGGATTCAGATGATATTTTATCATGTGACTAACCAGATGAAACTATTTAAGGACATATATTTCAGAA